CCCCCCCCCCCCCCCCCCCGGCCCTGAGGCCAGGCGCCCGGCTTGGGGGTTTTCCCCCAGGAGGAGCCAGGGGGGGGCCGGGGGGGGGCAGGGCAGGGCTTGTCTCCCAAGGGTCACTCCTGTATTTATTTACTTATTTGTTTTGTTTTTGAGGCAGGTTCTCACTCTGTAGCCTGGCTAGCCTGAAACTCATTTATCTCCAGAGTGCTAGGTGGGACACACACACACACACACACACACACACCCCTTCTCTGGGTCACTCTTGCTCAATCTTTTTATTACCTGGCATAAATGCATTATCACCCCAGTGTTTGCATTCCTCTCATTTTTTTTTAGACGGCAGGAGATAAGGGTGAGAGAGCCTCTGTTTGAATGCCAAATTCCTCAGCAGGTCAGAGGTAGATTTTAGCTGTCCTCATGGGAGGGTAGGAACGTCAGTAGAATGAGACCTCTGGGCCAATGGGGAGAAGCTCAGGGGAGAATTTCAAAGCTATATTTGGATGGGGCAAAAGGATGGCCTTGTCCTTGTACAGTCCCCCTGAAAATGGGAGAGTTGTTTCATCTCGTTAATATGGCTTTTAGAAAGTGGGGTACAAAAGGATCAGGGTTGGGGGTGTGGGAGACAGGTGAAAGGTTCTCACCGCTTCAGGAATCCCCAGTGCCTGTGGGAACTGAGTCTATAGCAGACACGGGCTGGAGGAATTGGTAGTCTGGCCAAGAGTGGTCCAAGCCCCCTTGGTTTCTAATATGCTCAGGCTAAACCCACACTGCAGGACTGGGTACAGATTGCTCTTACCTCCCTTCATGATGGACAGCTTCAGGAGTATGGAAGGACGTGGGTTTCAATTTGCAAAACCACTTAATATGAGAGTGAACTCTCGAACATTCTCTTACTTCAAGGGACTGTTACCTGGATACAGAGGATGTAGTAACAGCTCCTTGGGAAGCTGAGGCAGGAGAATTGCTTCTGCCTAGCAGTTTGAGGCTAGTCTGGACAACATAGCAAGACAATCCTTTGCCCCTCTGTCAAAACAAAAACTTAACAATAAACTAAGTTCCTCCAGCATGGAGCGGCAACAGTTTCCCCAGATGCAGGGGCTCTTTCTGATCACAGTAAAACAGCTGTCCAAGAATCCTTCTGTCTGCTAGGAATTATCCTTCATTTGCATGGGAGGAAGTCTATTCGGGTATATTTTCTGTATCTTACTCTCTGAATCCTACCTGACCAGTGTATGCTTGATTAGTTGTCCTGTATGTGACGATAGGCACCAGGATGAAATTTGTGAGGTTGTGATGTCTGGAAAGGGCCCTGTCCTCAAGATGGGACTGGTGAACAGGGCAGGCCACAGCGATGGCCATGGTGGTGGGGGTGGCATATGTGTCCTCGACAGGGATGGGGGGTCCTGATGCCCGCTGCTCCCTGTGAGTGAAAGGGAAGGTGAACTTGCTGGACGTGCAGAACTCGAAGGTCATCTGAAATAGATGAGGTAAAGGTTAGAAGAGGGAGGTGGGGGTGTGTGGAAAGGAATGAGGTTGGAGCTGACTGGCCAATAAACCCCAGGGGACTGAAAAACCTTGCCTGCTTATCTGTGGTGGACTTTGGCCACTGGGAGAAAGAGGAAAAAAAAATCACAGCAGGGTTTTCTGGGTTTTCCTTTCTGCTCCCTGTAGGGAAGAGCTCTTGGGCCCTTGTGTGCTTCTGATAGGTGGGTGAAGGGTTTTCAAGCACTCTGGGCACCTAGAGAAGCCACTGCCACCCCCTTGCCCTGCAGGTGAGAGTATAGGTTTGCAGTGTTCTAGCCACTGCCTTTTTTCTGGCCTAGACAGCTCCATCTCTACCCTAAAGTGGGCAGGAAGCATCAAGGCCATTGGCCAGGATTCTGGGAAATCTTTCACTTTTCCCATGGTAAGGAGAGAGTTGGCAGCCTCTATTGAAACCGCCAGAGAAATGGAGTTGGTATGCAGTTCCTGGTGACAGGCTAATCAGAAGACTTTGAACTGAAATCCCAGTGGCTAGAATGACAGGTCCTGTGCCACCAGGGCCAACGGAGTGTGAATTCTTAAATTCTTAATAATCACCAAACGATTAGTTTTTACGGTTGGAACTAAAGCCTTGCTGGAATTTTTAAAGTGCTTCCTCCTATCCTTTTCCCTTCGTTGGCACTTCCCGTGGTGGTCCTCTGTGCACAGAGCACATGCGCACATCCTTACTGGTCTCCTGAGCCTCAGCTCTGACCCATTCTGAGTTTGCTGGGCATAGGAGGTGCCCAGCTCCCAGGCTGATCAGTGTGGAACGGGGTCTTGCTGTAAAGAGCTCAGCACAGTGCCAGGCACTATGTTCACCAGGAATAAATGGTGTCTATTATGTGCACAAGGGAAAAGGGCTGTCCTAAATAAAGTGTTGGCAGCCCTTAGCCCCAGTGGATGGGGTTACGATCACAACGGACATCCATTACTTTTCTGATTGGAGAAAAGAGAACAATAAATGTTATTAGTTTAAAAAAAAAAAAACCTGACTTTGGCTTTACTTTGGCTTTTTCTTCAGGAAGCTGAAGATAATGTCAGTGTCCCAGTCCTTAAGGAAGACAAGGTTTCTGCTTTTATGTAAACTTAAATGATGGACAAACCCCTTCTTCAGGAATAGAGCCTCTATTAGAGGAGATAGCACTTGCTTCCAGCTGTGGGCCTACTGTCCTGTCCAGGCACCAGGCACCCTGTGGGGCCTAAGTCCTTGTCTCTGTTTTGCTCTGGATTCTTGATTCCAGGACGCATGTCTCAACAGCAGAAGCAGGAAACAGGCCCATCTGAGGCAGCATGGCCCTCCCTAGTTCCTTCTTAGGCCATCTCTGGCAAGCCTGAAGGGGTAGACCCCCCACCTTCTCAGGTTATCTGGGGACCATCAGCCTCTGCTGGATAGGCTCCTGTGCCACATTCTCCTTCCGCACCCTGGAGTGGGCATACTGTAGATGGAATAAATGCTTCTCTGTTTGGGAGACAAAGAACAGAGTGGCTCCTCTGGGTCAGCTGTCTCTTTTGGCTGGCTGAGCCTACTCTCCCCCAGGCCTCTTCTGAGGCTCCTGGGCGCCCCAGGAAGGAGCTTTTAAAGACAGACTGTGGGGCTGTGGCACTCTGAGCTGTTTTGCTGGAGCTTAAGGGAATGTGTTACCTTAACAAACCCCAAGCCTGCTGCTCAAGAAAATATTTATTGGTTGGGGAGCAGGGGGTGCAGCTGGAGAGGCAGTATGGCAGGCTGGGCGCAGAGAGAGGGTGCATGACTGCATAGCCGAGCAGGTGAACGTGTGGTGTTGTGTATGCTTGTTCTCGTCTGCATGTGTGAGTTTGCTAAATGAGAAAATATATTAAGATGTGAGTCTGCGTGTCCCAGATGTGTGTGGATCCCAGCTGGGGTGCGTGGAACTTCTGCACCTGGGTTTGAGGGTGAGCGTAACTGTTCCCCAACGTTAACTCCTGGGTGGGAGTAAGAGGCCGGCGTTCCTGCGGGCTGGGTGAGGGCGGAGTGTGCAGGCACGCGGGGTGCAGTGAAGGGTGTGAGCCTGCTCTGAAGGCACAGGCAAGGTGTACCTGGGCTCGTGCACCAGCGGGTGAGTGTGTACCAGCCCGCGTTAGGGGGTAGGCACGCGCCTCGGGTGGGCGCGTGCGCGAGAGTGCGCGTGCCCCCTCCTGAGCCCGTTGCCATGGGAACGCGCCGCGGCCTGAGTTAATCATTTCCTGTGGAAAGTGCGGGAGGGGCGGGCACGGGGCGGGCCGAGGAGGCAGCGGCAGGCGGCGTGGAGCTGCCTCGCGCGGGCGGGCCGGAGCGGGCCGAGCCCGGGGCGCTGCGGCGGCGGCGGCGCTGGGATCCTGTCTCCGCTAGGCCGGTGAGTCGGGGTCCTGGCAGACTGGGGGCGGGCTGGGACGAGCTCCTCCCGGCGCGCCTGGTGGGCGCCGCGCCCTCCCTGCCTGAGGACCCCTCTATCCCGACCCGCGGCGGGCGCTGCGATCAGGCCCCAGAGACCCGGCTGTGCACGGGGGTCCCCACTGCGTCGTCCAGCCGGAGGATCTTGCCCGGATCTGGGCGTGAGGGTGGCACGGCCTCTGGAGTCGCGCCACCGAGACCCACTCTGGATCTCCTTGGCCGGGGAATGTGCAGAGCCTACCTGGGAGCTGCGGGTAACCAGCGCACCCCACTCCCCTGCATGGGTCGCTTCCAAGAAGGCTACTGTTTGGGCCCTCCCTCGTGTCCCCGGGTAGTTCTCCCCCTTCTCCCACCCCCGCCCGCCCCCCCCCGCAAGGCCTGGGGTGGGGTGCGGCAGCCCCTAGGTTAGGAGGGAGGGCCTCAGAAATACCCTCGCAAGCTGAGAGGAATCAAGTCATTGACAGCTGCGGCTGAGGAATCCCTGCAGGGAGGGGAGCCCAGAAGCCGTCTGTCCCCTCAGCCGTTCCACTGCAAGTAACAGCAGAACTCTGGCTGACACAGTGAAAGGCCCGTTCTGAAACAGTTTAAAGAGGAAGCTGGATTTAAATTCTTAAGTATTATTTGTTACCCTTCCGAAACACACACACACACACACACACACACCCTTCAATGCATTTCTCAAGCTTGGGCATTGGAATTACCCCTAGCTTCACCTTCCTTAGTGTCCTTCTGCCCCAGACTGGTTGAGTGCCCTTCCTAGCCTGGTAGGACTTATGCCCCATGCCCTTCATAAAGGGCCAGTCTCCTTGGCCAGAGAGAGTCATTTGCTAGGAATGCAGCCCCAGAATGGTTTTGTGTATTCGAATAGCTGGACTTCAGGGTTTGGGGTGGTGAGTTCTGCTGTCTGTATGGGTAGCAGGGAGCAGAGAATTTGAAGTCTGGATGTCCCAGAACATGTGTGTGCCAGGGATGACCTAACTCAGTCTAACCATGCCCCCTCCCCCAAATGCTCACCCAGGAGAACCAAGCTATCTCCAACAATAGTGTATGAGGTGTTCACAGACACACACACACACAGAATCTTTGCCCTGTCTCTGGTTTAGGACAGGAGGAAGGCAGATCTACTATCCTTGGCTAAACCCAGAGAAGCACTTGCCCCTCCCCCAGCCAGCTTCTGCATTCACCCACCAATGGGACAGTGTATCAAGAGATAGCAGCATCTCGGTTGTGCCTGTGCCAACACTTCATACGTGTATTGTCTGATGCCAGCCCTGAGAAGTGCAGTTTTCACCACTTGATACATGAAGATGATAAGACAAAGAACAGGTAATTAATTCTCCCAGGTGGCGGAGCCAAGGCCTGAACCAGTCTGGTAGCTCTACGCCATAATTTCCAGGTTACCAGAGGACCCAGGACCCCAGACCAAACACCTCTGTAAGGAGAACACGAACCTCTCTCTTGGCCTAGAACCCTGGGCTTGTTTGAGATTCCTTGATACTCCTGACCCCACACCAGGGTTTCCAGCTGCTAAATTCAGCTGCTTTTTCCTCTTGGAGATCTAGCACACACCCTTCCTCTTTCTTCTGGCTGCCTCTCCGACTTCCCTTCCTGATAGCACAGAAGTATGGTCCCCCGCCTCTGCCCTCCTTGACTGAGCTGGTCTCAGCTTGGTAGGAGCACCCACAGAGGATGGTCCTCCTAGCTTCACCCACTGGCCTGCAGGGTCGGCTTTATGCCTGGTGCTGTTGCAGGCCGCCTGGGGAGGGCATTTGTATCTGCTCCTCTCGATTCTCCCACTTCACGCCCATCTCAAGGCATCCGTGTATGGGGCTACTTATATTGTTCGGCATCTTTTTGACTCCTTTCTCCCACATTTCTGTCCTCTCCCAGTGAGTACCCCACACTTTCTTCAGTCAAGGAAGGAAGAGACCATGACCCACTGTCTTCAGTACTTGGCCCTAAGAGCATCACATCAAAAGTCTTTGGTCTCCAACTCCAGATTCTTGCTTTTAGTTTCCTGTCTCTAAATGCCTTGTTCCTGCCCCTCTGTCTACCCCCACGTGTCACCTCTCCCCTGTCCTATCCTCTCAGCTCATCTCTTCCTCATCCTGGCTGAATTTCCCTCAAAGAAGGACACAGCTGCCTCCTAGGCCTTTTCCAATTCCTTGAGCCACTTTGAACTTTCGGTGCAACCTAAACTGGTCTGGAACTTGCAATCTTTTGAGTGCTAGGGAAAGTAGGTGTGAACCCCCATACCTAGCTCTCCCTTAAAGGGGATCCCTAGGGCTTTCATTTACTCAGCTGTGTCCTGCCCTTCCTAATTGCTCTCCAGTCACTTCTGAGGACTTTGTATATGGCTAGGCACTGACTGCTCCCACACACCCCAGACCCCCCCAACCCATCCCCCTGAACTCATCCCTGTCCTTACTTAATACCATTCATCTGGAGTAAGAGTAATCCACTGCTGGGCACACGCCTTTAGTCCCAGCACTTGGGAGGCAGAGTCAGGCAGATTTCTGAGTTCGAGGCCAGCCTGGTCTACAGAGTGAGTTCCAGGACAGCCAGGGCTACACAGAGAAACCCTGTCTTGAAAAACAAACAAAAAAAAAAAAGAAAAGAAAAGAAAGAGTAATCCCCCGTTATACCCTCACTTTTCGCAATAGTGACCTTTAGCTCTGAGTCTTGGTGGCGAGCCTGACCTCTAGACTTTGGTTCGTGTGTGTGTGTGTCTGTGTGCGTGCATGTGTGTAAGTATATACATGTGATGTATATGCATGTATTTCAGGATTATCCATCATGGAGCATGTGGGCATAGCATGTGGGGTGAGCCCCTCATCCTCAGGAAGCTGGGGGGTGGGGTGGGGATGAACCCTGCTCAACACATGTTCTTGCTGCCTGGCAGGAAGTGGTCAGTGCCTTGAGAGTGGGGAACTTGAAAATGGGCGTCTCTTGGGTGCCCAACTCAGTCTTCAAACTCCATGATGCCTCTTCCATCTGGCTTTGCTTCTGTGACTGGCATCACAGCCTGAATCTGGGGCAAACGTTTGGTCAGCTCAAATATCCTTGAAGCTTCTCTGCACACAGTAGGTACATAATAAAGATTTTTGCAGTGAGGAAGATGGTAACTCAAGGCCAGCCTGGACTACATAGTAACACCCTGTCTCAAATAACCAAACCAAACCAAGACAAAAGCTTCCGATCTAAATCTAAATGAATTCTATCCATTTGTTTGCTCCCAGGACACTTAACACTTCCCATACCAGTGCTCCCAGGACACTTACACTTCCCATACCA